GACGCTCGTCTTGGTCGGGTGCTCCCATTTGGCGCTGCGGACGAAGCCGAACCAGGAGCCGGCGTAGACGAGGGGCACCTGGATGCAGAGCCAGAGGAAGATGATGGCGACGAGAGTGCCAAAGGGGATTGCCGTGCTTGAAGCCTGTGCCCAGACGAATAGGTTAAGGATAAAGACGATGCCAAAGAGGAGGCCGGGGAAGAGGACGGCGGTGACGAGCGCGTTCTTGCGGAAATCCTGGCCGTCGAACGTCTTGTAGACGCGCGCTGAGAAGTAGCCCGAGAAGAGGCCAGCGAAGACGAAGAGGCCGACGCCGACACTGATGAAGCCGCCGCGGAAGCTAGGGTTAAGGACGCCGAGGGCGCTTAGCAGAACGAGACCAACCGCCATGAAGAGCAGCTGCATGCCGGATCCGACGAGCGGGGCCAGCAGGTAGCCGTGACGGGGCGTCCGGAAGACGTCGGCGTGCAGCAGCTTCCAGCCCGTGACGTCCTCGAGTGCCTCTTCGTCAGACGACACGTCGGCGTCGTTTTCGGCGTCAATTACGGCTCCCTGATCGAGCAGTCCGCCGGTCTTCTCAGAAAGTCGGGGCGATTTGTTGCCGGCCGTCTTCTTGCGCTTCAGCTTTGGCTTGCCGTCCTCGAGGGGCACCTCCTTGTAGCCCTTGATATCGGAGCGGATCGTTCTCGCGAGAATCATCAGGACAATGCCCGTGAGCAGACCGCAGATAATGAGCGAGTTGACAATGGCCAGCCAGTGAATCTTTTGGCCCTCCTCCTGATTGACAAAGTACAGATCCCAGCGGCGCGACCACTCGACATTGTTGTCCTCGCGGAAGTAGACGGAATAGGTATAGGGCACGGTCAGCTTGGCACCGTCGTCGGCGAGGTCTTCGTCATCATCGGTAGCGGGGTGGTATGAGGAGGAATCGAGGTTCTGCTGCTGCTTTGGCGTCTCGGAGGACTTATTCGGGGCGAGGTAGAGCTCGAAATTCTGGTCAATATTCTGCAAATCCGCGGGGCACCCATTCTCGTCGCGCTTGTTATTGGGTCCGATGCTCTTGGGGTACACCTCGAAGCCGACGACGACTTTACCGCCGCGCTCGCCCGCCTTCCCGGGGGCTCTGCGCCAACGGATGACAATGGTGTGGTGGTTGTTGAGGAAGTAGCGCGGCTTGCCGCTGCTGGCCGAGTAATCCGTGAAGCCGAGCTTGAAGCCGGCGGCGTAGTACTTGCGGCTCTTGTCGACGGTTACGAAGCTCGTGGCACCGGGGAGGTTATCGACGATCCATTCGGTGACGTAGCCATCGTGTACCATGTCCTTTGCGCGGCGCATGTCCTTGCGGCTCATCTCGCGGTTGCACAGCAAGTTGCACGGCTTGTCCTGTCCGACGACCAGGTCAATGTCGGACGTCTTGATCCTGTCGCCGCGGAGGACCTCGCCGAGGTTCAGGGGGATGCTTTGTCCGCTAAGCAGTCCCGTGCCGGGCTTGCGCTGGCCCGTCGGCGGGCACACGAAGGGGAGGTCGTAGTAGGCATACTGCAGCTGAGTGTTGTCGGAGTAGACCTTGTTCACGAGTAAGGGTACCTGCTCGCCGTCCTTATAGCTCTTAATCGACCAGCCTATAGTTTGATATCAAGGTATAGTCAGCGGGCAACTGCTCGAGCGAGAGAGAGGTGTTTGAGATCATGAGCTGGGGGCTTCTTTCTGAGGGCCGCGAACCTGGAATGTAGAATGCGTCGGCTGGTGCGGCAAGCAACAGGGAGACGAGGCACCCCAAGCCGGCCTTGAGCACCTGTCGCATTGTAATTAGGTTCGGTATTTGCGAGTTCGTCGTCGTTGTCGAATTATGTCCGCATAGACCGTCTCGGCGAAGTTTGTGTAAGTGGTAAAAGAGGTGACCCGATAAGATGGGCGACCTGTCCTCTGCGGTGGTGGTTGTGGTTTAATCGGGGTACCTTTCCGGCTTGGAGGGAATTGAAGGACAATTGAGGATAAAATTAGGCCAAGTCAGGAACGCAATCAAGGTAAGACGAGTCCGGTCGCGTTCAGGTTCAGTCGAGGGTCCGTGGCTGCACGGTGTCTCTCTCCGCGCCACGCCGCCGCCGCAAATGGGTGGGAGGGCGGAATCCAAGAAAACTGGATCGGACTGGGCTGCGCAGATGTGCCGGCCCCAAAGGATCGCAAGAGGAGGAAACTCGGGGTGGTAGAAGGTGAGGTGAGGTAAGCTGAGGCGGTAACGAGTGGAATCGGTACCAAGTACCCAGGAGAGAAGTCTAAAGGTAAATTGTCAAGTATCAAGCTTCGAAATCTAGACCTCTCCCGTCTTGTTGGGAAATGACGCAAGTGAGCCCGCCGTCGGCCGTTAGCGTTTTTGTTTCGAAACGGGGTCCAACCTTGGAAGAGTGGGTGAGGATGGAAGGGCGAGTTGAGGTGTTGTTGTTGTTGGAAGTAGGCAGGTTGAGTGATGGGAGACAATGCATGCAGCACGGGGGGAAGAGGCACAAGAGGAATACAAAGACACACCCTCCAGATGGAAGGGGGGGAGGGGAGGAGAGGGGATGAAGAGGCAATTGGAAGAAACCTAGGACGTTGACGGGATGCAGCTGGCGGATGAAGGACGGGACGGAATCGGCGGGAAATAAGAACAGTTCACAAGGGGGGGGGGGGGGAGATGGACAGAGCATGGGAATGGGAATGGGAATGGAAATGGGAGATTCACTGGGATTGCATGGCATGAGCACATGGGCTGCGAGCATGGGGATGGATGGTCGGGATGGGGGGATCGATGATGGGCGCACGGTTCAAGACCACTTTACAAGTAGAAGCCCACTGAGAGGTGAAGCATCGATCAGAGAAAGGCCCGGAATAATTCATAAATTGCTTTTAATCATTCAACCTCAATCTGAGATGCCGTCTTCCAGCGTAGCATCGCGGTCGTCGAGTGCCATCCATCCCTCACTGTAGTCCCCAACCGGCATCTGTGGAGAGGGGGGGGGGAGCCTCTCTTCCCCTCTCTTCTCTTTCACAGATGGTACTTGCCTTGCCTTACATTGGATATCAGTAGCTTTGTACTTCTAATGTAGAGTGAGGCAAGGTAGGCACGCTTCCCTACGCGCTTCAGTTCCTATCTCGCGCCTGCCAAGACCAACATGTCTCTCAATGAGAAGCGCAAGACATGAGCGGGAAGGCTTGTCGCAATTCACCCATACTCATCCGTATGCGTACCTTGAAATTCTTTCCTAGACACTTTGCCCAATCCCATGAACGCAAGCGGTAGTACAGACATTTCTGCAGGTAGATACCTATGTACATACGGATAGGTTGCTCACGGTTCACCCCCCAAGACCCTCCAAAGAGCAGGCGAGAAGTGCGCCCCAACCCCTATATCTGCCGCCGCCCGCTGTCCCGCCGCACCAATCAACATCTGCTGTTGGGGAAGCTAAATTCAACCGACACGAGGGGGGTTCACTCTTTGGGGCAGGTCGCAGCCAAAGATGAAAGGGGTGTCCGCGTTGTCACGTGTAGTTCCATTGTGATTTGTGCATTGCTTGTATTTTACAGAATAGGATATCCTGCTAGAAAAAATAATTCTCACTCAAGAAGAGGGAGGAATGATTGGTTATTTGTGCACAGCTTACCTCACCTCAGAACTTGCGCCTGAGCCTCATCCTCAGCTTTGCAAGCCCTCGACTCGCGAGTCACCGCACTAGAAACGATGCCATGTGGAAACAGACGATCGATCTTATTTAGTGTGGGCAGTTTACGCGGCTCCCGCTCCCTTTAGTCAAGTTACTATCAATAGAAACAAACGAACAAACCACTTCTGTGACCTGCCTCGTAGACGATCGCTCCCTCTCTCGAACAAACAGCATCGGGAGAGTGGGCTGTTGGACAGTGACAGGCCGGGTGTTAAGAACGCCCAGATATCGTCATCTTTCTCCATTCCCAATGTGACGGGGGGAATTCGCATACATGGATAGTGATGCAGTTTGCTTGGTGTTATTGTGCTAATGCCAGCTTATGCCGGATAATCAAACCCCCACATTTCCTCACCCCCAAATCCCCCTCATTTGCCCAGTGACCCTCCAGTCCGAGCTTCTTGGAAAAATCATGCTGAGCGTCCGGGGCAAAAGAAACAGGGAAAAAGCGGGATAGCAGCAAAAACTCCACCGCAATCTCAATACTGGAGGCAACAGGGGGAAATGGAAGCAACTTAATGGGCCTAGAACTTTCTGGGTGTCCGGCACGGCATGGCGGCACCTTTCTCCCGTTTTCGTCTCCACCGGGCACTTGCTTCCGGCCAGGTATACCAGGCTCCTCCGGTCCGGGCCCCTTCACTTCCGCCCCATCATCCCGTCCCGTCTCCGGAGGTGCCACTCTGCCCCGGACCATCTCCTTCTCTTGGCATTCCGGTTGGAGACGGGTTCGGCCTCTGATTATGGATTGTACTGTCTGTGTCAAACATGCCGTGTGAGGTAGGTATTATTCGGGTATAAGTGATATGAGTAAAACCAGGACCTCGGCGCTGAGGTGTTGTCAATCTCCTAATTGATTTTAGTGTTCCTCTAGGGGTGATTCGCGCCCTTTTGTTTGGAAGAATACAAGCTTCTTCCTCCATAAATCAGTGCCATAGAGTACGTACTAGGCAGGCCTCATCAGGTCGTATAAAAAAAGTTCCAAAGGAGCCCAGATCTGAGTGATTTTGTCATATTATTACTAAGTATTGATGTGTTTATCCAATTTGCCTCTTGCTCTTTGGGTATCTTCAATTCCAATAGACAAATTTTTCAAATGAATAACAAAAAAACTCCAAATCAAGGCGTCCCGAATTTTAGTATCCAAGACTCCGGTAGCCCACCAGCTCGATTCTTTACTGGTATCATCGCCATCGAAACAAGAGAATAAAGGAAATTGCTGAAAAGGAATAACGTGCTCAAAACCCCCCATAAGTCGTAATTCGTCAATGCAAGGAAACAAGGACTTAAGCTGCAAGAATTTCAAGCAGCGGAGACCTCGCCTCGCCTTGCAGACAAATCGCCGTAGCTAGGCAGCACGGAAGTACCCTGGAATTCGGGTGCGGGTTGCTGCAACAATCTCGGCTGGAGGAAAGCGTCCGCTTCCGCCTCCTCTTGCTGTGCCATCACGGCTTCGAAGGTGGGAAGGCCCATGTCGAGCGAATCGAGCTGCATGGGCGGCTCGAGGGCGACTTGCAGAGGGATGTTCAAGTTGATCTTGGAATCGCCAACGACGATGGTCAACTGCAGCGTGTAGGTGCGGGAGATTAGGCAGGCGTGGAAGGTCGGGATAAAGGTCTTTCGGGCTGTGGGCAGCTTGAAAGGAATCTGGAGAGCGGCCTTGTGAAAGATGGGAGAGGAGCGGTCCTTGCTCGAGCGGCGGCTGTTGCTCTGACGCTGGCTGTCCGAGTCGGAGGGGCTGCCTTCACGCATGCCATCGCTGGAGTATCCGGAATCACGGCGGGCGGTGGAGGCCAGTTGCTGGCGCCAAGCAACCTTGTCAACCGATGTGGAGAAGAGGGAAACGGAGGTTTGGTATGCGAGCTGCTGGGTCATGGCATATGCCTCTTGGCTGTTCCCCATGTTGGGGAGCGACGACATGGGCGTTGCGCCATACCAGGTCTGAGCTTGGATCTTGGCCGAGACGGTGCTGACCTTGGGAGGCAGGATATCGGCAGAGGTAGGCTCAAAGTTGAGGTTGACCAAGACTGAGCCCTCGGAGGCTCCGCGGCCGTCGGCAGTCAGGTAGACAGCACCAGGCTGAGCGGTTGCGGCTGTGACAGTGCCCTGCTTGGAGGAAAAGATGTTCTTGCGAATGGTCTTTGTCTTGTTGAGGGCGTAGTTCTTGTCCTGCTTGGTGATGTTCAGAGGCGGGTCCTCGGGGGATCGAGGGAGGACTTTGATGTGGTGGGTGTCCTCCATGACCTTGATCGGCTTTCCGCCGAGCTCGTCCTGTCGCACAACGCGGGCCTTGATGACATACTGGACCTGGGCCATATCGGGGGCCATGTCATCCCTCTCCCAGCCGCCCATGGTCGGGGGCAGACGCATGTGGTAGTCTTGGATGTAATCGTACTGAGCCTTGTGAGTGCAAGCACTCATTGTCAGTTGGTGGGGAATGACGAAGTTGAAGGGAATGGTGTAAGCCCTGCCGGCCTCGAAAATCCGGGGTACGGGGTAGGCGGAAGCGGGAATGGGCATCTCGAGCTTCAGAAAGGTGTGAGAAGAGAGCTGAGGAATCTGAACGGCGTCAAGGCGAGTCCTCGAGATGCCGATCAGGATGATCTGAACAAAATCGAATCGGCTGTCATGGCTGGGCGTGATTGTGACCTCTCCAGAAATGGGGTTACCCGAGGTGTAGACCTTGGAGCTGTAGTGGTCGTTGATCTTGACCTCGATGCTCTGCTTCCTGGTGGAAGCAGGCTGTCGAGCGAAGGAGATGACCGAGCTCATGTCACTGTGGCTCGACATTTTGGCTGATTGATGGTAGATGGAGCTGGTTGGGTGTGACGATGACGATGATGGGAATGTCCCCGAGGTGGGGTGCGTAGCTTATATGTATGTAGACGAAGGCTTGAGTGAAGATCCCCCAGGTATTAGATGGGAACCAGATGGAGTCTTGTAAGTGACGATATGGTAATGAAACCAAGATGAAAGCCTGTGAGTGGTACGGAGAAATATAGACATTTCCATGACAAAAGGGTGGGCGAGGCGTGTCTCTTTAAGGTCGGGTCAATGTCAAGGATGGGAAGGGAGTAGATGGATGGGCAGGAGTGCAATGCAGCGTGATTGTTTGACTCGACTCGACTCGACTTGAGCAGATCCATGGCAGCAAACGCCAGGGCCGGAAACAACCTGGAAACCCTCCACCGTCGACGTCTTCCTCGCACTTGCAAAGGGCGGGCTCCTCATCCTCAGCCTGCGTGATGGAGGGAGGTGGGAAACGTACCGGTACCTGGCCAAGGTACATGAGGTACTCGGATGAGGTACCGACATTTTGAGAGAGGGTGGGTGGTGGGTGGCAGGCAGGTCCCCGGGCGGGAGACTTGCGGTTGCACGGGCAGTGGCCGAGACGGGAACTTGAACTGCCTGCCCTGCTGTTGACCGGTTGTTCAGTGTGTTCAGCGTGCAAAGGAAGGTGAAAAGTGGAGCAGAAGACAGCAGAAAGACAAAATCTGAAGGATGGGATCCACTAGAATGGTGGATGGCATGGCGGATGACTGGCGCTCCCAAAGGCGAGCTTAGGTGCTTGGTCTCGACAAGTGACGCCCTTCCTGTCGAGCTTACCTTATACAATTATGCGCTAGAGACATCCCCAGCGCTGTAGGGCATGCTCCGACTTCCATTTTCCTCTGTAAGGTAAGGTAGGTAGGTAGACTGAGTAACTGTACGGAGTAGCCCACCGGTTGTTGGACGCAACTAGGTGGAGACTCCGAGACTCCGACCCTCAAAACGTCGCCAGCTGCGATAGAACGGCGTGAAAGGCGTGAATGGCAGCTATGACTCCGTCTGCTGCTCCGCAACTTCTCTGGGCCATCCAGGTTTCTTGTCACAGGTTTCCCATTTTCGAATTAGCTAAGGTACCTTGGTATCGAATACCTGTTGAAGGTATTTTACCTAAGCTCATTAAAGGTTTCTCGACATCAGAGTCCATTGTTGCACAGAGAAGGATTCAACTGCAACAGACCCTGATTTCCAATGCTCCAAATGATGCCATGTAGACCATGCAAGACGAGACGCATCCAACCCCAGACTCACAAGTTAAGGTACATTAAACAGCAATGCCTCTAAGGTATTGTCTCTCCCTGCCGTTTCAAAATTAAAGGCTGCTTAGAATTCTTTGAGATTGGTAATCCATGGTTGGGAATCTCAGATTCAACTTTGCTAGCGTGTCGCACTTGCTCGCCAAAAGAGTCATCATGTCAACTTGGACGTCGTGGAAAGGCGCAGGACCCGCTTTAAAATGACGAGAACCGAGCAAGACCCTTTGACTGGACCTTCCTCCACCACCACACGGCGCCGATGATCGGCAGGTGCTCCTTACCTTCCTTTGGCAAGAACGAGACAGCAATTCCCGGCTGGTGCTAACCTCCTGGTGCTTGCTGAGGCGGTAAGGCATGGAAACCACCTCAATAGTGTCTGGATCAAGGGAAACTTTCATCTTCCCGGCCGATGCTTCTGACATGCATCTCCACCCACTCGGATTCCCGACCATCGCCAACGGAACCCGGCTCAAGCCTCTGGTACAGTCAGTCTGCTGACATGACGGATCAATTTGGACCCTGATGACTGTGACGCCAGCGCCAGCCAACTAGTGAAAGCTCAAGTCTCTCGCCGATCCATACTCGAGTAGAAAATGGGCAACCTCTGCGCAAAACCAGCGTAAACAACACGCAGCCCGCCTAGGCACTTGGCTGCAACCTTGGCCGAGAACCTGTCGTGCTTCCGGTACTCTCATTCATTCTCAGACCACCGACATGGCTCGATACGCCCTGCTGCCGTCACGCTGTCGTCCAACACCAAAAGACAGTCAGTCGAATCTCCCAGCGCCCTACCGGATGACATTGACGCAAAAGACAAAGACAGCACTAGCACCTGTTCACAACAATATTGACTTGCAATGTCGCGGACCTCTGCTCTCGGAGCTCAATCGGAGCCGTGCCAGACTCCAGCCGTTGCCATCTCCAGACTGGGGAATGGGGAATCAGAATAGAGCTAAGAGAGCCGCCCCCGCGACACCACGCAAGAAGCAACTCAAACCGAGGGTGATGCGGGCACGCGGGGAGCAATCATGGGATTCAAGATCCGCGACCCCAGCAATCTGCCAACGGCTGCAGCGAGCCAACGTCCAAAATGTCACATTATTATGTGCCTCCCTGCGGCCTGCCACTCCCTTCAACACCAAGTTGTGATAAGACGTACGAGACAGCAGGAGTACCACGGCCGGGCAGCCAGTGGCATACTTTTCAGCCTGCTGCCGAGGAGAAGTCTTGTTAGGTTCACTGTTCTTCAATGATCGACCCCAATCGCGTCGCCAGTCCGACACCGCTGTCCCAATCAGCAGCTTGAATTCGTTCCGTCACCCTCCACGACGACTGCAGGCAAGGGTGGGAAATTTCCTTCCCGAGCACTTCACTTCGTCATCGCTGCAATACGCAGTCACACGCACCAGGCGTATTTTCAAGCATAGGAGCAGGTGTGTCGTTGGTTGAAAATTTACAAGCCCGTCGAATAAACGAGGGCAGCCTGGGTAAACCGACACAGGGTACAAGCACACGACAGGTACAGCAAGTATCGCAAGTACCTCTACCTCGATTCAATCGTTTTCACCCTCAAACATACGCGAGGTGGATATCGCAATCCAACGGACAAACGACGTGGATGAGAAGAAAAAAACTAATTCAGATACAAAGTTCGCAAAAACACACGACAACCGGCTGGGCTTTACGTACACGGAATCGATGTCTAATGAGATCCATCCAGGGGCGCGGCGCTTTGCCTTTAGGTGCCTGGCGGCTGTTGCTGGCATTACACGAGATCCATGCCATCGGGTCCCCTTGACGTACACGGTTGAAAGTGGACTCCCGCGGCGGAGGCACATCGGCCACCCGGTTCGGCCTCCCGTTAGCGGTCGATGCCCTCTGTTAAGCCGGTGGATCCCCCGGTGGTATGGGGCCCTGGAGGTTGCCATGATCCATCCGAAGGGTGCGCTTATGGGGGCGTGCCTCGCGAGTTCTTAACGTTAGGGGACGCCGAAAGTAATGAGATCCATCAGAGCTACGACCATGACCATCGTGAAGTGAAAATTTTACACTCGATCCCACGCCTTCAAAGTTGCAAAGGTCTCGAATGGCCACTCGCGGCCTCGCCAAGGTAGTGGCCGCATGGACCATTGGATGGCTCACACACCATGGAACATGCAAAAGAACAAACAGAGGGAAGCCATTACTATCACATCACGAATGGTCGGGTACCGCAGGAGAGAACCCGAAGAGTACAGCTGGCCACGTTGCGGCCTACCAGGAGCGCAATTGGATGTCAAGTAACAACAGCCGCACGACGATGGTGAGCTTATGACTGATGAGATCCATCGGGGCGATGACGCTAGAATGTATGGAACGTCTGAATGGAAGGCTGGAACGAGCCAAGTACGTCAGGCCAAGGCACGGGAGCAAGCGGATCTTGAAAGTTGAGACAAGACAAACTTGAGGCTCCATCGCGGAACAGAATGGGGCTCTTCGGGTTACAGTTTACGGCGCATCACTACCTGCAATGCTGCATGGCCATGCTGTGCGGCTCCTTTGTGAGCAGCAGCTAGAGCCGCCGTGAGGTTTTGATCGACTCACCCAAATCAGGGGTGCATACGGGAAACAAGCCAATGTTGAACGGGCATGCTTGAGAACAACAGGAGACAACTGTGGGTTTGCTTGATATGGATTGTGGGTGTTAGTGACGATGGTGCAATACCACGAATATCCCGAGCAGAACATCCACTTTGAGCCGACGACAAACGAGCCGTGGATGGCCGCGGTCTACGATGGCACATGGGTGTTTGCGATGTCGACGGTCGGACAGTGTGGTTGAAGTTTTTTTTTCGAGAAAATTTTTACGAGCAATTTGTTGCCTCTATTGCGCAGAGTGGAGTGCCATAAGCGCCATCTGTCCAAGGGAAAAGGACCCACGATGCGCCTTTGGATGGACAGCACTGGAGACATGCTGGAGACATCCCACGCTCCGGAACGAGAGTCCGGAAGTATTACCTAACACTCCCGTTAACCGCCCTTCCGCACATGGCCTCATCGCCAAATGTCTATGGCCAGACCCTAGCAGGCCTACGATGATGGGATTCCGCCTCCAATTGGGACGGGGAGATCCTTCAGACGACGGATGGGACAGCCTTTTTCGATTCCGGAGTCTATACATAAACTGATAATAACCCCCCCTAGTTAAGGTAAGAGTCCCGTATATAATAGTAAGTACTTAGATATTAATAAATCCTAGCTAAATTTAACTAATCGGACTTCGTTTTTTTTTTTTTTAGGGTACTCGGGCTAGAAATATTTTAAAAATAAATTATAACTAATTAGGGTACTACTACTTAATTAATAAAAAATAATTCCGACCTATACCTTTCTTTTACCCTAACTAAGTCGCGTTCTTTTTTCTAAACTTTTACCCTTTATTACGACTTTTATTAAAAATTTTTATTACGAAACTTACTATCGTACTTAAAATTTATTAATAATTAATTAGAAATATTTCTAAATTAATTCTATAATACTTTCCTATTATTATAATAGTAATAGCTTTAAATCCTATATTAATAATAAGAGGGGCTAGCCTTAAAATCTCCCTATATTCGAGACTAATAATATAAGTTTTATCCTTATTATTATAATTAAATATACGATTTATTTACTTACTTTTATAATAATAAGGTTAAGTAATCTTATTATTAAAAGAACTTTATTACTATTACTTAGAGACTAATAGCCTTTATTTTAATAGCTATTACTAGTTGTTTCTTAGTATGCTTAAAAAGTATTTTAAAAAGGGTTATTATATTAACTTTACGATTTTTTATAAAAGATCTTTCTTAACTACTATTGACCTCGAGGTTACTTATAAATTACTTCCCATTTTATATTAATATTTTTAGCCTTATTAATAATTTTTTATAGAATATTATACTAAAATAATATTACTTATAAAGGGCTAAGATATGCCCCTAAATACTCCCTAAAAGCCTAAAACTATCGTAAGTAATAAAGCGTTATTTACTATTTTTTTTAAAGAGGACGGTACTATAAATAAAAATATTTTTAAAATATTTTTAGTTTATAAGACTAACTATTTTTAATAGGACGTCGCCCAGATAAAAATAAACGTTAAGCTCGGCCCCGAGGAGAGCTATAAAGTTTATAAATCGTAGGATATTATTAGCTATAATAAGTATAACTTATTCCTTAATTAACGCTCTTTTTAACTAGATTTTATAACTTACCCTCTTCTTAATAAGTACGAGCTAATTTACTTAGTATTTCGTAAGTACTATTACCCTAAGCTCGTACTAAATAAGGATATTTTTAGTAAGTTACTTTATTAATACCTATATATCGTTATATTTAATATTAATTATTTCTAAAAATCTTTAAAACCCCTAAGTAAATAGGCTAGAATAGTAAAGTAGTTAAGGGTAAACTAGTCTA